CGCTGGCAGCCACTCACTGCAAAGCGCCGGCGCCCGCAGCCAACGTCTACAGGGTGCATCCGCGAAACATCCCACTTCTGACACCACGTTGTCACGGACTCACAGATCGTGCCCACTCTTGGCCTCGTGCGGTCTGTGGGGGGTGCCCCTTTCAGTGCGACAGCCCTTCTCGGGGGTCCACTCTCTCTCGGGGTCAGGCCCCTCCACCTCCTGGAGCCGCACCTCTCGGAGCCTCAGCACGTCTGTCTCTCCCGTGGGCCCCCTCAGGGAGTCCACTTGCTCTGGACCCCCCGGGGCCTCCACCCCCAAAAGGGTTGATGCCACCCTGTTCTCTAGACCGGAGTGACTCTCGGCCAGCGTAACACAGGAGGATTTATTGAGAGTTGAACACAGCACAGGAAACTCTCAGGGCCTCAGGCCTGGCCTCCCTCAGCCCAGCACATCCCAGTCTCCCTGCATCCAGGTGGGCTCTGCCTGCTCCCCCTCTCTAGCCCCGAGCCCCCCTGCTTCCCAGCTGGGCCTCTGAGATCACCGGCCCCAGGCCCCGCCTCTGTCCATTGTCTTCTCTCCAGGGAAACAGGGTCACCTGGGCCCCCTCTCCTCGCTTCTGTCCGCTGGCTGGAACCGGCTGGTTAGGTCACTGGGTCCTCACTCTGCAGCCCATTGTCCTCCCACTGGCCAGAACCGGCTGCGTCTCCTCAACTGGGCCTCTGGGTCACCAGGTCACCGGTCGCTGGGGTATCCATCCTCCCGGCCATCGGCTGGGTCCCCACGTCCTCTCTCCGGTCCTCTGCAAAACAAACTCCCTCTCCCCTCACCTCGTTAAACCAGTAACACCCAGGGAAACTGAGTCCCACCCCCTCGGCATGCAAACCATTGAAACTCCACAGAAAACAAGAAAACCCCCCACTTTGTCACAGGGGGCACAGTAGCATTCGTGGGAGGGGAGCTGGGGTCAGCAGGGCCCGGCCCAGAGGCTAAGCACTAAGGGGGGGGGGCTGTTCAACCCCTGGCAAAGGCGACTGGGGGGGTTCCCAGGGGTAGCTGGGAGGGAGCATGGCCTGGGGGGCCGAAGGGGGTCAGGCAGGAGCCATGTGGGACTGAAAGGGACCTGGCTAGTCCAGCCCCTGCCTCAGCGGCCAGTAACCCGAGCTGGCCTGGCGGGGGCGTTGTCCGGCTGTTTGCACAAAGCTCCAGTGAGGGAGACGATGAGGCCTCGCTCACCCCAGCAGGGCCAGTGCTGGCTGCCTTGGGGTGCGGGGAGAGACCCCCCCACCTCCGGGTGCAGGCTGCATCACAGCTCCGAGCCAAGGTGCTGCAGCTCGCTGGGGGGCTGGGGCTGCCTGAGCTCTGGGGCTGTGTTTGTGTGACCAAGTGGGAATTTTTCATAACAGTTTCTATGATGCCTGTGCGTGCCTCAGTTTCCCCTACGTGGTGCATGGTTAGCTAGGCGGGGGTCAGGGGAAGGTTGTTTGCTCTTTGCAGAGACCCAGGGCTCTGTGTGCCTGGCTGGGCCGGACAATGGCCCAGCCGGTTGGTACCTAGCGACTCGCTGTGCGGGAAGCCAGCAGGTCTGACTAGCTGGAGAACAATAGGCCGGGTGACCAGGTGGGCCCGGGACAGAGGCGGGAGGGCGCTGGAAGCAGGACATACTCCGGACTGGGGCTCAAGTGGGGGTCCGAGCGACCTCTGGGCTCTGAAGTGACCCCGCTGTAACTTTCTGCTCCATGACACCCAAGGGTGTCCTCAGCGCACTGGCTGGGTCACTCCAGAGCTAGCAAGTCTCCCCCAGGTGCCCCATCCGGCTGGACTCGCTGCACGGGGCTGGCGGCTCCGAGGTTCACTCCCAGGAGCCGGGGAGGCCGAGGGGCTCTCCCCAACGAGCCAGTGTGGCCCTAAGGGGGCTGACGCGCTGCAGGGTCCCCCACCCCCAGAGTTGGGTGCACACACCAGGCCTGTGGATCCGTCCCAGCTGGGTTCGGGGCTGTCTCCCCACGCTGGGGCTCGCCTGGTGCTTGGGCGGCCAACAGGCCCTCAGTACATGGGACGTCCTTTCTTTGCTCAGCTCTGCACAAGCTTGCGAGTTGCTGAGGGCTGTAAGAAACAGCAAGACACCCCCCCCCCCCCCAGGGACCACAGGGGCGTCCTGCTTGGTGGTGTTAATAATCATCGTGATACGAACATCGGGCAGAGGGGTGGGGCGGGGCGCTAAGGAACCCTCTCCCTTTGGGAATACGATGCTGGCCGCCCTTCCCGGAGGTGGCACTGCAGGGACCCCGCGGCAGGAACGAGTCCCTGTCGCCTCCCGGCGCAAGGGTGAACGTGGCTGCGATTGTCACGCCCCCCTCGGGCTGTGCCACGCGCTGCCCTGGTTCACCGGGCCCACGGGTGGGGGCGGGGCAGAGGCGCACCCTGGCTAGTAGCCAGGAGAGGGGCTGTGACGAGCCAGCGGGCGGGAAGACACCAGCCTGGGACAGACCCGTCTGGTGCACGCACGCACACGCGCACACGCACACGCACTCAGCAGCCTGGTGTGCCCAGGGCCCGGGGGGTGTCACCTGTTTGGGGAGCAGGCGGCTGGCCTGGGCGTGGTGCTGTGGGGCAGAGTTAAGGTGATATTCAACAACAGGGCAAGGGGGTTGACACTTACTCGGCTCCTTGGTGCTAACCCTTGTCTGGCTCAGGGGCTCGGCCTCCGGGATGGAGCCGGATTCCTCTGCAGGGAGCCGTATGGGACCCTGGGAAAGGGAGAGACAATGGGGAGCTGCTGCCCCCTTGTGGCAGTACCAAGTAAGGGCAGATTTGCATCACTAAACCAGAGCTGCATTCACGCAGGAGTCGCTAGGACCCATCTCTCCTACTTTCCCCGGCCCCCACCGCTTCCTGCTCCCCTGTGACAAAGTGGGAATGTTCTTAATGTTTTCTCTGAATACTGTGTGGGTGCCTCAGTTTCCCCTGTGCATTTCTCGAGTGTCTAGGCGGTGGGATCAGGGTGCGTGATTGTTGCAGAGCACTAGTGTGACGAAGTGGGACTGTTCTTAATGTTTTCCTCAGTTTCCCCTATGCAGTTCTTAAGTATCTAGGGGGTGGGATAAGGGTGTCTGGTTGCTGCAGAGCAAAGGGCCAGGGCACATAAATGCCCGACACTCTGTCTCAGGGCAACTGATGGCCTGGGCCCCTCCTCTGCAAAGGTGCCAACTGAAGGTGTTGGAGACAAAGATCAGGTGACCTCTTGGCCTGGGAAAGAGACAAAGCCCAGAGAGGGAGGGGCTGGGCGGGGGTGGGAGTTTGGAGCTAGCTGGGGACTGGAAGGGAGGGTAGACGGGGGTCTGCCTCGCTGGGCCCCGGAATGGACCCGGCCGAGGGGTCCTGTTCGCTGTACCTACAAGCTCTGTTTTAGACCATGTTCCTGTCATCTAATAAACCTCTGTTTTACTGGCTGGCTGAGAGTCACGTCTGACTGCGAAGTGGGGGTGCGCAGAACCCTTTGGCTTCCCCAGGACCCCGCCTGGGCAGACTCGCTGCGGGAAGCGCACGGGGGGACGGGGATGCTGAATGCTCCAAGGTCAG